ACAGGCATAATGTGCCTTGCGATCCCGTGCGGCCGATCGCATTGCGGCCGGAGGGTGTGGCTACAGTGCCATTCACTTCAATGGCTTGCCACGCCCCACAAAAAAGTGAGCCAGCCGCAATGCGATGCAGTGCGTTCTGGCCAGAATCGGGCCGGAACGCACTGCATCTGGTGTGAACCTAGCCTTAAGGCAAGTCCTTAAAGGAGCATGGGGGGGGGGGGATGTAACTTTTAGTTTTATTGTATAATCACCATGATGACACAATAAAACCAACCTTATTTTTAGATTGAGCTATTGAGAGCTGGTGTCAAATTCTTGAGGTTCTGCACGGCGCCATCCGTAGTGGTTACTACGTCATCAGGGCTTGTAGGGAGGTAAAAAAATGTAATACCATTGACCCCAAATCTTTACAGCCTCCCTTTACAATAAAAATAGTAACTTCACGGAATAAACTACATGGTGACCCCTACCATAAGAAGGTGTCATGAATGACAAATACTGTGTTCCCTGCATAGCTATTTTCATCATAGGACCCTATTACTAATGGTCACTCTGCTGTATGGTGTACTGCAGGTATCGACATTGATTCATCACAAAGCCAACATGTTTCGGGGGTCAGAGGGGAGCCACCCTTCATCTGGGCTTGAAGGGAGGTAGTAACTACTGGACTGCAATTAAAAATGAAGCATGATGGGCGTGTGGTAAAGTCTTTTATTTCAACTTGGAATAAATCTGTATCTGGACAATTCATGTTTGGTGTGGAACTTTAATCTCAGATACAAACCAAAAAGTTGTGGAAACTCAACCCCAGGCTATCTCCATACCCTCCGTAACAATAGGATAGCTATAAGGTCCAATCACTGCCCTTAAAAAAAACCATTTTTGTACATATCTATAAAAAAAAGAATGTTAACGGTCCATGTAGGTCAAAGTTACATGGCCTCCTGATAGCTCCCCCAGCCAGGTATACTCACCCATTTGTGTCCCCCCGCTGCCTTTCCACTGGCAGTCCACCCTTGATAAGCTCCAGTGTTCGATGGTGTCAGAGCTTACCTAGGTGGATGATGTCATTGCTGCCCCATGTGGGCTTGGGCCAGGAAATAGCGATGTGACATTCCTAGAAGCCCCGCACAGTTAGAGCAGCAGAACTTAGGCTTCAACTTCACATGAAGCCCTCATTCACACAGGAATCGGCCGCCACGTACAGCTCCGTGCTGCGTGCATGGCCGTATCGAGCAGCTCCCGGGAAGGACAGGCGCCGTGTGTGATTAGTACGCAGCCCCTGTCCTTCTCTATGGGAATACGCGGCCATACGCCCCCCTACACTCACCTCAAGTGCAGGTCCATAGGGGTGCGTGTTTCCTGCCTCGGACGCAGACAGGATCTATCCCGTCGGCATACGACTTCGCTCACCCGCATTATTGATAAGAACGCAGCACCTGTCCTTCCCGTGAGCTGCCCGATACAGCCCTGCACGCAGCACAAAGCTGTACGTTAGGATCATAGGTTAAGTCTAACCTATAACCTTGCACGGATTAGTTCTACCTGATATAGTTATGACAAGGACTTCATCATCATGGAGTTTATGCGTTGTTACTGTGCTTGTGTAGGTGCCCCCTGTTTCCCCCAATCAGTTTCCTCGCACGATGCAAAAACATACCGCCCTGCGGTTATTGCCTGCGGTTAGTTCATGACTGCAGCAGGGATATATGTTAACATTGGAATTGATCGCAAGGTCAATATTTTCTAGAAGATGCTGCAGAGTCAGTGCTATATAAATAAGGAAATACAATAATAAATTTAAACACCTCTCCCTGATTTATAATGTCCTTATTTGCAGATACAAAAATGCATAGATGTCACCAGCACACCAACAATATTGTAGTCCAAAAAGGTCATTTACTGGAACGTCATGTCACCATTGACACATGACGTTCCAATAAATGACCTTTTTGGACTACAATATTGTTGGTGTGCTGGTGACATCTATCCATTTTTGTACTGTGTGGCGGCGCTATCCGCCGTCACTGCGAGCCCCCCCTCCCCCTTATTCAATTTTGGGGTTTTGTCTGGTAAGGAGTGCGATCAGAGCCGGATTTACTCTCCCTGCCGCCCCAAGGCCAGGTTCCGCAATGCACCACCCCCCCGCCAACGGAGAATGGGAGGGGGCGGCAGGGTTAGTTTTATTTTTTTTCATTGTTTCTTTATTTTTTTATCACTTTTTTATTTATTTTTTTATTTTTTACATATTTAGCATTTCCTTTTTTTTATTTTTTTATAAATTTGTTATTGTTTATTTTTTATAATTATTTTCTTATTTTCTAATGTTTTCTTATTATTTTCTACTTTTTAATCACCTTTTTATTTTATTTATTTCTTATTTCTTATTTTTTTCTATTTTTTTTTTCACGAACAAGCGGCTTCCCCACACTGCATTTAGTCCTGCCTTCCCAAAGCAGGACTAAATGTAGAAGGCAACTTACCGCCCAGGGGTCGTCGGGGGATTCCACATCGCTGCCGCCCCTCTGCGCCCCCCTGCTGCCCCGAGGCCTGGCCTCGTTGGCCTTGTGGGGAGTCCAGGCCTGAGTGCGATAAGGTATCTTTTCGTTTTTCTTATTTGCAGATATACACAGCATGTCTTTACAGAGATATATAGCACACCTGTGTACGTTCTTAAATCTATATCATATTTCCCTATTGTGTTTCAATGTACAAAACTCTCCAATATTGATAGGTTTGAATGAAGTGGAATTCTTAGTAATTTTGTTTTTCTAAAATTCATAAGTATAGAAATCAAAGTTGCTAAAATCATTGAATGGTGCTCGAGTTAAACAGGAGAAAAATTAAAATAATATATATATATATACACACACACACACACACACCTCAGGCTTGTCACAGCACCCGCTGACACATTGGCGCTCCTCTCCTTTCCTTCTCTTTTTCACAGGTTCTTCTGAAGCCATCACCGTACAAAAAGGAGGCAGAAGGGGGTGAGACACCTCACCTGAGCCCCCAGTGCACGCCTCCAATTAAATCAAAATTGTTTGTTTTTAATGGCCCTTTTACACTGACAAGTGGGCTATCATTCCGCTAGCGCTAGCTGTCAGGGAGCTGGAGAAAATCCTTGGTTGATAATGCCCATTGCTTCCAATTAGGAGGAGAAGTGCTCCTAGTGAACATCCTATTCCCCTGCCTCCCCCAAGGCCCCAGCGTCTCTCTCTCTCTCTCTCACTCTCTCTGCATTCTCTTTTCTTCACTTCTTCTTCTCCTTCTTCTTCCCGCTGCAAATTACTGACACCAAACGCCGGCGTATTGATGGCGGATGCGCTCAGTCCGAGCCTGTCGGGTTTAATGAGGTGACGGAAGTTTTTCCACTCTTTGCTAAATTCTTTCTTGTTTGACAGCTGCTCGGGAAGCTGCATGTTGACCTCATAAAACATTTAGCAATTCTCATTATACCCTGTCAAGCATCACAGTGACGGCTTCACAAAATCATTTGCATCTAAATGTGTATGTGTCATGGGTATCGGAGTAGGTGGGTGCTTGTTACCCTTAACTCTACACAGCGTGTGCCGGAATGAGGGGGGTGTGTGGGCTCAACTTGCATTGGCATGAATGCTGTTCCTTCACTGAATCATCTCAGTTTAGGTCATCTTTAGGCCTGCCGCGCAAACAACGTGCTGCCTTTGTACCTTTCTTAAGGGATCCAGCAGTGATGTCCAGCCAGTTTTGTTCATTGTCCATGGCCATTACAAAACTGAATCTTAGTGTTTTCCTCCTTTCATATGGGTTGTCTATAATGAGAAGCAAATCAACAGTGGAGCCCTTGTGTAAATGCATTGCAATTGGGGAAAGGTTATCTAGTGGTAGTTAACACCCTTTGGAGTCTTTAAAGTGAACCTGTCATGTCCACCAAGGTGTGCAAAACAGCAGTACTTTTGTTTCCTACAAGAACCTGCACTTTCCTTCAAATCAGTACCTTCATGCTTCGGGCTAAGCACAGATTCTAGGCCTAGGCTGTGTAAAGGGTCTGTACTTCTCTGTTAAAATTAAGCTTAGCCTTCTCCTAAGCTAAACGCAACATCTATTATTCAAATGTCAGTCACCAGAGCCTCTACTTGCCATGGAGTCTTTTGGCATGGGATAGGTAAATAATAGGAGGTGGGTCTTAGTGCCAGATAGGAGCAGGGCTTAATGTCAACTGGGAGTGAAGCTAAGACTTGTCATATAGCTGGTGCCTAGGATCCGGGGTTCTCCCCAAGCATGAAGAAAAGAAGACAAGCACAGTAGACTATAAGCTCTACTGGTCAGCTCAAAAAGACCTAATAAGACAGTTTTACCATTTAAGTTAAAAACTGATTTTTGTTGCATGCACTTTCGACAAAAGAAAAGCCACACTGCTGCATCAATGCGCCTCTGTAAGGAACAGTTCCTAACTGTAAACTATCTGAGCTCAATGTATGTGCTGTATATATGTAATACATATACATTACACACATCCAGTACACTATAGGAATAGATTTACAGCCAGCCCCATCCCAGCTTCCCTCACTCACAGTTTCATTCCAATCTCTGTTGCCTCACGCTGTGCCTCTCGTAGTTGGCGCTGGGCAGGATCGCTGCATCGCATCTCAAAAAAATCACCTGACAGCTTCTTATATTTCTTGAAGTTTCCAATGGCAATAGTTTAGGTAGGTCCTTATTTTACATCGTTTTGTTAAATCTAAAGTAGATTGTACAATTTAGACACAGTGGTTAGAACAGTTGACTTGAGGTTGCCTGAGTTGCCCTCTGATCAAGGTTCTAGCCACACGGAGTTTGCATGCTCTATTGAGTTTATGGTGGGGAGTGTAAAATTCCACTAGTGCAAGGACAAATTCTGTATTCACCGTGCCATGGAGTATATTGACACAATGTAACTAAATAAAAGGAAATTTTTTCACACTTATTACTATAAAGTTATGAAATAATAATGATCCTCTTATTTTTGTTTTTAGGTTGGACCTCACCTGGACACCTTCCCCAGTGAGAAGGCGCGGCAGAGAGCCTATAGTGCTCACAACTCTGACGGCATTGCACGTCGAGGCCTCAAAGGCCAGGGCATCTATAATATCAGCTGAGGGTTGTCAATGCCGGTATATTAATAATCTGGCGCTGGTGTAATAAAATGTGTGTTTTACGTATTGTGTTTTATGTATTTTATGACTTTTATTTTTTATTTTTGTAAAGCTTTTCTGTGTACAAACTTTTTATATGTGATTTTTTTTTTTTAAGGAGACCTTCTGATCCTCCCAATGTTGGTACTTGTAAACACAAGTGGGGCATTTTCCTGCTTTCACTTTTGCAACCCCTTCCTTGATTGCCAACTCCACTAACCTGCTGCAACCATTATGATGAGGTCCTTGGATTTTGTAATTGGTTCATAATTTAGAGAATGCAGCGAAAAGAGAGAAACGCCAACCAGACTGTGGCTGCTTGATTGGATATCTTGCTGCTATTCGTTCTCTGGTGTTTTGAGTAGTAATATAATTCTGCCAAGAAGTAAGAACAGTCCATCGCTGAGGAGTAGGATTCACAGCCTGGAACTCCAGCAGCTGGAGACTTCTAAGGACTTAGTTAGTGAATCATCCCAACAAGGTATTGCCAGAAGTGGAATATCCTAGCCAAGCCATCTAGGGGACAGAGCAATTAGCCAGGTTGGATTTCCCTCACCGATCACTACTGTAATATATATATATACACACACATTATATTACCAAACGTATTGGGACACCCCTCCAAATCATTGGATTCAGGTGTTCTATGAAATTTCCTTGCTACTAAATATTCCATGGTCACCTGTTACTGGTATTATAACAAAGTGGAAGCAACTGGGAACAACAGCAACTCAGCCACGAAGTGGTAGGCCACGTAAAATGACAGAGCGGGGTCAGCGCATGCTGAAGCGCACAGTGCGCAGAAGTCACCAACTGTCTGCAGAGTCAATAGCTACAGACCTCCAAACTTGGTGTGGCCTTCAGATTGGCACAACAACAGTGCATAGAGAGCTTCATGGAATGGGTTTCCATGGCCGAGCAGCTGCATCCAAGCCTCACATCACCAAGTGCAATGCAAAGCGCCGGATGCCGTGGTGTAAAGCAAGCCGCCACTGGACTCTAGAGACGTGGAAAATGTTCTCTGGAGTGACGAATCACGCTGTCTGGCAATCGGATGGACGTGTCTGGGTTTGCCAGGAGGACGGTACTTGCCTGACTGCATTGTGCCAAGTGTAAAGTTTAATGGTGGGGGGATTATGGTGTGGGGTTATTTTTCAGGGGTTGGGCTTGGCCATAGTTCCAGTGAAGGGAACTCTTAAGGCATCAGCACACCAAGACATTTTGGACAATTTCATGATCCCAACTTTGTGGGAACAGTTTGGGGATGGCCCCTTCCTGTTCCAACATGACTGCGCGCCAGTGCACAAAGCAAGGTCCATAAAGACATGGATGAGCGAGTTTGGGGTGGAGGAACTTGACTGGTCTGCACAGAGCACTGATCTCAACCCCATAGAACACCTTTGGGATGAATTAGAGCGGAGACTGCGAGCCAGGCGTTCTCGTCCAAACATCAGTACCTGACCTCACATGCACTACTGGAAGAATGGTCACATATTCCCATAGACACACTCCTAAACCTTGTGGACGCCTTCCCAGAATAGTTGAAGCTGTTATAGCTGCAAAGGGCGGGCCAACTCAATATTGAACCCTACGGACTAAGACTGGGATACCATAACAACAGGTCAAGCATCCAAACGCTTTCTCAGCTGTTCCAGGGCAGATCGGCATCACAGATCGTATGTGCAGGAGAACCGATGTGCCCTGGAACAGCTGATCGGTCCTGAAATGTCACTTCTAGCCGACATTGTGAGTGCGATCTCACATTCCACCGCTGTAAAACAGGGCGGGATTACGTTAAAATGTGTGACCACGTGACCCGTCACACATTCAAACCTAGTCACAAACTTTGATAGAACACCCATCACTATGATAGGCTGCCTCACTGGCTAATAAAAATGTGTGGGAGGGGAAAGCTCTATCACAACAATAACGCTCTGGAGCTTTGCAGGTTCAGATCGGTCCAAGATTTGGGTCATAGAGGGAGCAATTGAAGTTGCAGCATGTATCTGCAGGTACCTCTATAACTTTAAGGAATAATTCACAAAGTCCTACTTCTCTGCATGGCTTACACAACCCCATCAAGGAAGAAGAACTCAATAACTTGAAGGTGGGGCTCAGTAACAGTAATATAGCAAGAGAACCTACCTCCTGCATGACTTGCCTCAAATGGGAAAAAAAATATCTTGACAATAGATTCACCTAGTTGGCCTAAATCTTGCCCCTCTTTAGCTGATTATTACATCAATATGTTAACTGCTTAAAACATTTGTACTCTACATGGGTCGTGAAAGAAAGAATTGTGTGTCCATTGGCAGAGAAAGAGTTAATGATTCATGAGAAAGAATATTCTCTTTTTAACGTGGACGTGAGAAGTTTCGGCAGCCACATCAAGTATTAATGGCGGCAGAGCAGTTGCCTTTATTATACTAAAACAAACAGAGAGGCCTGACATCAAAATAAAGATTTACTTTTGCCACGAGCTGAACAGTTGAGATCTGCAGCATCGCTCAAAAGAGACGCAACTTCTCCTGCAAAGTTGGGATTTGCTCAATCAGGGCTGCGTTATCAAGCGCTTTCCTCTCTGGAGCCTGAGGGGCCCCTGCAATGGACTGTAAAGTGGCACGTTGCAGTCATTGGGAATGCTTAGGGGATTTCGTTTAGCAATCTGAAGACATCTATATAAAGACGGGGAATCGGGCGGGTAACAAAGTCCTTGGGCTCTGTTTACGACTGTCTCCCGTGCCGCAAAACTGGGACAAAACCAGAGCCCGATGCAGCAACTTGTTTATCTGAAGACAAAGAGTCCCTCTGCGAGCAATTGGTGATCATTTTGTTCCGTTATGGACCCCAGAGACCGAGGCGGCTCTGCAGAACAATACGTTTTGTGTGAAGGGTTAATACGGCACATAAGTTACTGTGACATTCTCCTTTATTAAAGAAAAAGCTTGCCTGTTTGACATTTTCTCTTTGTAAAAGCATAATGTTAACCTAAAGCTATGCCAATAGATTCTAGAATGGCAAAAAAGGTGTCAGCGAGGGTTTAAATGCCTACGAGAAAGAAAATGCCTAGGCTTTTGGTCACATGATCTTGATGGAAGGGAAAAATTAGTCAGCGTGAGCTCTGTTTTTCTCCTTCAGCAGAGATCACATGACCAAATGCCTCAAATTTTGGTCACATTGGCGGCACAGGAAGGGAACCCAGGCAATGTTTTCTCTAGGGAAGGTAATTGCAGCCATTCTGTTACTCTAGCTCCATCCTAAAAAACAGATAGGAAGGCTTTCCATTGACATTCAGTAATAGTTTACATTTATTGACCCCTTCCATAATTTTGTATGCTCTTCTGCCCCTCCCTCACATCACCTTTTATATGTATTAGACGAGTAATCCGTACAAAAAAGAGCCCTGATGTGTACAAAGCACAAAGACTTGTTACAACCTTCACTGAGTACAACTGCTTGTTATGCAGAAGTCAGCTCACAGAGGCCTCCTGAGAGAAGCAATCCATTCCATTACACCTCTTCCACATAACAGCTTTTAAAGCAATACTCCTACTATCTCCCTACTTCGCTCCTGTGCTAGTCAGTAACTTCCATCACACTTCCAGGTTAAATGACACCTAGCATCATCCAACCACTTTCTCTGTACCCAGACATGTCATGGACACACATCCTGGTCTTCTAGACTGGACAACGTCATCATGCCACCTGTGTTCAGTGTTACTAGCAGCAGATGCACTATATTGCCAAAAGCATTGGGAGGCCGGCCTTTACACGCACATGAACTTTAATGACATCCCAATCTTAGTCCGTAGGGTTCAATATTGACTTGGCCCGCCCTTTGCTTACTTGCCGCTATAACAGCTTCAACTCTTCTGGGAAGGTGTCCTCAAGGTTTAGGAGTGTGCCTATGGGAATGTTGGACCATTTGTGAGGTCAGGTACTGATGTTGGAGGAGAAGGCTGGGCTTGCAGTCTCCGCTCTAATTCATCCCAAAGGTGTTCTATCGGGTTGAGATCAGTGCTCTGTGCAGGCTAGTCAAGTTCCTCCACCCCAAACTGGCTCATCCATGTCTTTATGGACCTTTGTGCACTGGTGCACAGTCATGTTGGAACAGGAAGGGGCCATCCCCAAACTGTTCCCATCAAGTTGGGAGCTTGAAATTGTCCAAAATGTCTTCGTATGCTTATACCTTAAGAGTTCCCTTCACTGGAACTAAGAGGCCAAGTCCAACCACTGAAAAACAACCCCCCCCCATAATCTCCCCTCCACCAAACTTTACACTTGGCACAACGCAGTCAGGCAAGTACCGTCCTCCTGGCAAATACCAATCTGAAGGCCACATGAAGTTTGGAGCTCTGTAGCTATTGACTCTGCAGACAGTTGGCGACCTTTGTGGGCTTCAGCATGCGCTGACCCCGCTCTCTCATTTTACGTGGCTGAGTTGCTGTTGTTCCCAGTTGCTTCCACTTTGTTATAATACCACTAACAGGTGGCCGCGGAATATATAGTAGCAAGTAAACTTCACGGAACACCTGAATCCAATGATTTGGAGGGGTGTCCCAATACTTTTGGCAATATAGTGCATCTTCTATGGGGATGATTTCTGCTGACAATATTCACCAGGACAAATAGACGGTGAATCAGCCATAATAACCTGACAGGAGATTTAACACTTTCCCACTCTATCCAAAAAATAGTTTGCTTTAGCTTTACTAACACTTATCAAGTCCATAAATGGCTCATTCAATGGAACAAACGCATGGCCATGATGGAAGCCTGTCATTGAAAAATAAAACATGGCGATCCTACTATTATTGCTGTGAGGGGTACACAGACAAGAGACAAGCATTCTTTAATTATGGTCACAGTTGGGCCTTATGGACTATGATGTTACCTCTGTTGCTGCACACTGCTCAGGACCTCCTGGTGAACATCACTGCATAAAATCCACCTTCCCAACCCTTAAATCAGTGTCCACAGACAGCCCCACAACATT